AGTGAGGATCATTCTTAATGTCAAGGGGTTGTTAAGTTGGGATACTACTAAGATATGGTTTCCTCTGCAGCCAACTTGTTCAGAGTTCCATCTCTTCACAAATGCCTCGCTTCAGGAATGGGGTGCATATATGAACAGACAGGAATTCCAGGGTCTATGCATGGACAACAAAGCTTCTCCACACAATGTTAGTCCTTCTTGCTCTTCAAAAGGCAATGTCTCATGGTCTGGGCCTGTTAAGGGGAAAATCGTCAGGCTTCACTTCAACAATTCCATGGTGGTGTCTTGGATTTCCCATTGAGGAGGCACTTGGTCCAGGGTTCCTTTTTTTAACCTTGGGCCTCCTTTCTCAGGACTACTTCTGTCATATTACCTTACTAGCTTGCCACGTCCCACAGGTGACTGCTGTAGCAGATCAGTTGTCTCAACCCAAACAGATTTTCCTAACAGAATAAATGCTGCATCGCAAGGTTCTGTTGGATTGGCTCTCATTTTACAACACTAATGATTGGTAGGCTGGCCACTCATTGGAACACCCAACTATTGGCAATTTGATCTCCCATACCTCACCTTCAGGCTTTGGCAATGGTTGCATTTCATCAGGACAGGACAGGATTAAAACTAGGCCTTTCTTCCAATTCATATGTTACCCAAGGTACTAACTATGATTTGTTCCAACCCATTGTCGAGTCCTGTTGGTAGCACCAGATTGGCAGCTAAACTATGGTTTCTGCTTCTGTGGTACCTTCAGTAATGTCCACCTCTTCCACTTTTCCTTTGGCCATCTCTATGGAAGCACCCATGATCTGACATGGTACACCCAGCTTTCCATAAGCTAAAGCTTCAGGCATGGAGGTTATGCAGTCTCTTTGCACGGCATCAGGGTTTAATTTCTAAGGTTGCCATGTGTCTATCTCAGTCTTTTCTTAGTTTTGCGATAGACATTTATCAACAGAAATGACACACATATTGGCGATGGTATATTGAGAGGAGGTTGAACCCACTTCGATCAGAAGTGCCAACCATAACTTGTTTTTTGACCTGGCTCTTTGGCAAGGGTTTTTGAATTTTCCTTAATCACCCTTAATGCTATAAAGTGGCTTTATCGACTACCATTTGATACTCTTGACAAAATATTCTTTGAGTCCCCAATACTCTCCAGATTCCTCAGGTCTCTTTGGGCCCTTTGGTACAAACAGACCATTCCAGTTACTTAACTGGTATATCAGGCTACATTACATGCCCTTTCTCAACACCTGTTTGTGACCTTAGTGGTTGGTTTGCCCTTAAACATTTAGGGAACTTGGTTCAGCTATTGCACTGTTCCACATGACTCCCCAGTACACATTAACCCCAGATTTTACTAGTGGAGCTAGGGAGTCCTTATCGCACCCAGTTTCCAGTCACTGGGGTGGTGGAC